GCAGGCGCAGCGCCTGTCGCCCCGTACCCTCGTCCCGGGAGCACCACGGGGGCTCCCGCTTGGGATGCATCCTGCACCATGGGCCCTGGGCTTGGGGTGCATCCTGCACCATGGGGGCTTGCATTTGGACTTCATCCTGTACCAAAGGGCCCCATATTTTGGCTGCATCCCACACCACGGGGCCCCGCAGTTCAGCTGCGTCATGGGCCATGTTTGTCCAGCCCTGGGGAGACCCTTCCCTGCTCGGGGGTTTCCAGCCCAGGAGCAGAGGCTGCGGGGAGCCGGCTCTTCCCCGGGGACCTGGGCGCCCTGTGGGGTGCAGGGCTCAGCAAGCCCAGCCCCAAAGGCCAGCTCAGCCCCAAGGCCTGGGGCTGGGACATGGAGCCTCCCAAGCGCGCGGGGAGCTGTAGGCCCCGTCCATGCACCTCTGCCAGGTTGAGCTTGCCATCTCCTTGCGGGGAGGGAAAAGGAGTTGCTGATCCATGTCCGGAGCCTCATGGTCCTTAGCCCCACAAGCTCTAGTCCTTATCTGATCCCCTTAACAATGAGGTACAAAGCGCTGGCAGGTTCCCGGGGAGGGGGGGGATGCTGCAAAGCATTAACCCTCTGCTGCTCAGCGGCAGCCCTGGTTTTGGAGGGGAAGCTGGGTGCACAAAGTGACTGCACCGGCGCAGCAGGGGGGTCCCCAGCACCCCCACCTGTCCCAGGGCTGTCCCGGGTCGGTCCCCGGGCCGGTGCCCAGGTCTCTCCCAATGTCTGTACCAGGTCTGTCCCAGGTCTATGCCAGGGCTGCCCCCAGGTCTGTCCTAGGTCTGTGCCCAGGTCTGTGCCCAAGTCTGTCCCAGGTCTATGCTCAGGTCTGTGTCCAGGTCTGTCCCCAGGTTTGTGCCCAGGTCAATGCACAGGTCTGTCCCAGGTTGATGCCCAGGTCTGTACCCGGGTCTGTGCCCAGGTCTGTGCCAGGTTGGTGTCCAGGTCCGTGCCCAGGTCCGTGCCCAGGTCTGCCCCAGGTCAATGCACAGGTCTGTCCCAGGTCAGTGCCCAGATCTATCCCCAAGTCTGTCCCCAGATCTGTCCCCAAGTCAGTCCCAGGCTGGTCCCAGGTCTGC